GCAACTACGTAATAACCTACCAAACAATGTCTAACTGCCCTACGTAATAGCCTACAAAATTTTCATTACAATAATCTTCTTAGTTATCCATTGATATGTTTCTTTTCCAAGGGATTGACCTAAGTCATTCTGATGGTAGACAAGTGATGAAAACTTAAGATGAAGCATGAACTTACTGAAACGAGCATATTGTTGCTCAAATGATATCACTCGTGGAGGAAGAAGGCCACGGATTCCTAGACGGTCTCTTTCAGTGAGAGGAAATCCAGTATCCTGCTCTTTGAAAATAAAAAGGGACAACTTTAAAGAGAGTTCCACATAACAATGATACGATATTATGTCAGATACAACCATGGGATAAAGAATGTTTTCTTTTAGAAATATAAAAAGGAACACAGATTTGGGTACTTCCAATTTTGCAGAACTTAAGAAACAAAAAAAAGGAGCAAAATACATACTGATAAAGAATTAAAAAGTGATGATCAAACATCAATTTCCTAGCGAACATAAACCTGAAGAATTAACGCCTTAGTCTTAAAGAGATGCCCCAAAGAGTACTTAAAAACAGATTTTAGAAGCACAATAACTAAAAAAAAGCTTGATTTGTTTACAATGTTAGAAACATCCAAGTGTAAGTACACAATTCATGAAGATGTTCCAATTATCACCCTGAATAGGGACATCTTCACTTCTGAAGCCAGACAGAAATTCGATCCTATCTTAAATTTATAGAGCACTATGTATTTTTATGCACTTGCATTCATCCATACGCTTACACCAGAATATAAACAAAATGCTTAAATTCATTAATTCTACTGAAAAAAAATAATTGATTAATTACAATAAACTAAATATAAAGCTCCTTGGAATCTCTTTGTCGAGGCAAACAACCGAAGAAAATTCCTACTTCGAAATATTTACAACTTCTGATACTGCAATAAACGGAGGTACCATAGGAAAACATAGCCATTACGAAATAAAACAATTGTCAAACATGTTCATCACATAAACACTTTTAGATCCTCTTTTCAACTTTTGAGTAAGAAACACTAAAAAGTATAGTTTTGAGAAAAAAAAAACTACAAAGAAATTTCAACTCATACATTAACTGAACCTCAAACGAGCGCGCCTACAAACAACTAAACGAAAACAGCATCCAAAACGAGAAAACACAAAAAAAAAAAAAATAATAATAATGAAACCAACAGAAAAAACTACCAAAACATGAAGAATCAAAGAAAACAAAGGAAGCAACGCACCTTGTTGAACCAAGGATCATGGAGAATATCAGCACCGCGCTTATGGACAATACACGGTCCAGGAATCGCAGTCGAGAACCGCCTAGATCGGCGCAAACTCGCCAAAGTTAACCTCGCAAGGTTCCACATCAAACTGGATCTAGAAAAAAAGAATCAAGAAAAGACCAATCTGATAATCAAAAAACCAAATGCAGCACTGCCTCAAATCCAATACTCTACTCCAAGAAATGTTCCAATCAGATTAGAAAAAATAGGATCCAAAGCTCGCAGAATCGACGCCGTGAATCAAAGCAATGCTAATTGAGTTTCATTTAAAGAGATTGAAATTGTAGAGGCTTTGTTCATCGCAGTGGAAACATAAATGTTGCAGTGAAAATATAGCGGAAGCAGTTGAAGCTGTACAAGAATATTGGAGACGGGAAGGGGCCGGGGGAGGTTCGTTCTGAAAATCGGGCAGGAGAGAGAGAGACATAATAAATCATTTGTAATATAATTTATATAAAATAAAATAAAATAAAAAGAAACCTTCAAATATATATATACTTTCTTTATTTAATTTCTCACTTTCTAAAAGTATTTTGTTTTCATTAGCTAATATCATTGAGTTCAAAACTATGTCAAATTAAACTTAAATTTAGAAATTAAAATATTTATCCAACATTTTTTAATTCAAAAAATTATTAAATAGAAAATTAAAAAAATAGATTTTCTATCGTATGACCTGTAACCAGGTTGACAAGTTATAGACTTATCCATTGTAAATCTTTAAAATAATAATACATTAAACGTGATGTAAAAAAAAAATTAGTACGACCGAGCACTACAATATTGTACAAACCTAAAAGTTATATATAAAAAAATAATTAAAAAGAAAGTAAACTTTTTGTTATATTATTTTGCATTGACAATTATTTTTTTATTGAAATTAAATTTGTGAAAAGTATGTGGATATATATTTTCTTTATTTAGAACATTCCTTTTAAGTAATGTTTTCGTAATTTTTTATTAAATTTTGAAATGTGTTTTTGGTTTATAATTTTGAAAATTAAGATCAAACACACATTAAATTCTTATAACAATATTTTTTTTATTTAGACCGAAATAAATGCTATTTTTTTGGTTTTTTATAAATTCCAAACACAACAATAAAATAATTAAAAAAATAAAAAGTTTTTTTCCCCTTATATTAAAAAAATAAGGGAAAAAAAGGGAAGGAAGGTAAAGGTAAATTAGGAATATTATTATAATGGAAAAAGAGGACAGTGCCGAGCGAACGCCAGGGAGGAGCTGCCCGAAAAGGGACGGGCAGACTAGAGAGAGAAAGAGTAGCGATTTGAACAGAGTGGCAATTATGGTAATAGTTGCCTAATCTGAGGAGTCCACGTGGCAAGTTTCCATTAGCGTTTGGTTTGCAGGAGTGCAATAATAATCTGCGGCGTGCATGACTATTGTAAACCAGTGAGTACCTGCATCGGATTATTGACACGTGGCGATAGCACGAAAGATGATGTAGGGGATGGTCTTATTTCCATAAATAAATTAAAATTTGGTTGAAAAGTCAAGAAAGGACAACTGACGTTCCTTTTGGGAGTAGACCCACAAATTGAATTCGATGGCTAAATTGTAATTTTGGTTTAAGATATATATATTCATTTATTAAGATATTTTTCAATTATTCAAAATAATATCTTTTTTTAGAAAACAAAAAAATTAGATTAAGTTAATTTATTATATATGCATCTTTTAAATTAGACATTTAAATAAAAATAAGTTTAATTAATATTTATAACTAAAAGTCAAAAAGTATTAATAAAATTTTAATGCGAATAATTTTTATTTGGTTTGTTGAATCATATTAATTTTAGCTTAAAAGTTACTCAATTTGATTTTTTTATTTTTTTATTTTGTAAATATTTATCCCTCTAAATATAAAGATAAAATAAGATAATTTTCCTTAAAAGCTTAAAAAAAATACATGTAATATTTTGAACTATTTGGATTTATATATTCAATTGTGGGAATCAAGTTTGACAGAGGAGGATTAGATTTATGACCCTTCATTGGAAGACATTAGGATATAATTATTCTCGTTCATTAAAAGTAATATTTACTCAATTAACATTAATTTTATATATTATATTATATTTTTTAATTAAAAATACGCTACTAAATAAAGTCGCTCTTTGAAAAACTGAAAATCCATTTAAATTGACTAAATTTGTCATCGACTTGGTTTTCAGTGGTTCGGGTTGGCAATTTGATTTGAAATTTTGATAACCCGAGTTGGCTGATTAAACCAAAATTCATATTTTGATAGGTTATTGAGTTTTAGGGAATTAAGATGTCATATATCTTCAAATGTCTAGATACTTTTTTTGTTTCTGAAAAAATAATATCATTAGGATTTTTTTTTTTTTAAGAAAAAGAAAATCTTTAAATTTCAATTAAAAATAGATTTGAGTTATATAAATTTCTATATGTAAATGAAGAACATGAAATGTGCAAATTTATTTTAATTATAGAATTAAAAAATTTAAGAAAAAAAATACACCTAATCGAAAAACAAAGGACAAAAACGTCAATAAGGGATTCTTTTACTATGAATCACATTACCTAAGCATCCCAGTTCGCTTCAATATTGTAAATGGTTTGACTTGATTTTATTTTTAGGATTAATTTCACCATACAAAAGAAGAAAAAAAAAATCAAATCAAACCAAGCCATTTACTCTATAAAAAAAACACATGGGGTACCAATTAAAAAGAATAGTTTATATTATTTATTTTTTAAATACATTGAAATAGAAAGCATCTCAGGACCAAACTTGATGATCGAAATTTTCATTCCTCATTAAATCAAAAGCCAAAAAAAAAAACAAAAAAAAGGATGAATCAATCACTTTCAACTCATATATATATATATGTATATTATATTTAGATAAATAATATTTCAAATATTTATTATTAAAGTCTATTTAGCTTTCCTTTTATCGATTTTGACAATTTAATCATTCCAATGACATTTTTTTTAGTCAAAAAAGACATTAAAAACTAAATTACAAATTTGGTCCCTATATTTGGATCATTCTAAAGTTCAATAGGGGTAAATTTGTAATTTCACAAAAAAGGGTAAGACTAAGAAGGAAGCAAAAATCCAAGTCAAGTCTAGGCAGCATTGAACAATGAACAGATGGAAGAGGTGAAGCATCAGAAAATGGTAAGGGCCAAATAAACGTAATTCATTCAAGTGGGAACTGAACTGGATTCGCCCTTAAGAGATAAGTATGAATGTCCAACACTCATTCTTCGTAATGTCCCAAAGAACCTGGATTGATTTTCTTGCTGACTGCTGCGGCAAACTGCAGCAGCCCCATGTTGAAATATCCCCATCCCATCTGTTTTTGTCCACTAAATATTGCAGCACAGAACCAGGGGGTCCTTGAGGGAGAATAAGAATTTTGAATTCTTAAGCGTTGTAAATTCCCACAACAATAATAATAATACTAATAATTCACAAGGAATATTCCTTGTTGTTCTAGAAATTTGACATCACCACCATCCAAATAGTGCACAATGCATTGATAGGATGGATGTAAAGGGCCTATTCAAGTGGTGTTTAGACCAAATCTGATGCTGAACGAAAGAAAAACCAATACTGAACTTGGCTTTTGGAGAAGCAAACACGTCGAACCGACTCAAACCGACCAGAATTGAACCAACTATTTCCGTTTATGAGAGAGAGTAAGAAAAATGATGAAGAAATTGAATTTGAACAATCCAAACTAGACAGAGTTTCTTCCTTCTGGTCGTTATGGGAACACTTAACTTTAAACATGGCTATTAAAACAAACAGCAGCTTATTTTGGTTACTAACAATTGGTAGCAGGAGACAACCAAATACAAGATTGACATAATTGGGAAATATAACACCCAAGAGCTGAAAATTTTAGTCTCTGCAATTACCAGATCCAAAGACCTCTCCAACTGCAAATCAGGAATGCAGTTTCTGGCTCATATTTTCTTTACTCAATTTTCAGATGATAGATTAATACTCCTTGTTTCCAAAATTCTTGCACCAGAGCTGTGAAGGAATTGGCCGAACGGGATTGTGTGGCCGTTGCTGCATCCAAGTTGAGAAGAGAAAAATTAAAAAAGGTTACTTGCTGATGATACTTGAGACATAACAAAAATGTCAGAAAAGCTTGTGTCAGGAGAACAGAATCTGATTCCAATGTGAAAGAATTATGGTCCATATGCTCAATCAGTAATATATATAGAGGGCGGGGAAGAGCTTCCTGCCTTAAACAAAAAGAATGAACTAGAACTTTGAAATCATATTATAAGAACCAAATCAATGGTTAACCAATGAAATAACTCCCCCCCACCCCCCCAGAAATAAATATTTTAATGGCTGGGATTCAAGACATTTATAGCATGCATATATATAGTGAATTTTTAAACAAGATGTCCAGAAAGAAGGGCCTTCCGAATCATTAACAACCGGAAGGCCCTTCTTTTGCAGTTGTCTTTTGAGCCTTTCCTTTTTAATATATTTCTCATGGTTTCTTATTAATTAACAAAAAAAAAGTAAAAAAATTCAGAGATTCTTTTCTAACACTATGGAAGGCTTAAGCAGGTCAGATATGAAATGCAGCAGTTCCCCCCCTAAATAAGGACGTGACAAAACCTAAAATTTATATCAATCCTGGACATCAGCTTTAATAAAAGATGACATGTTGGGACAATTACTAGCATCACTTTTCAAGAATTTATACGCTCTTTGATCTCACTTCTCAAAAAACACCAATATGGAATATCCTGTCTTATGCAGGTGAAACTTTCAACGATATATATTTACACCATTCTTTTTCGGTATCAAGGAGAGATATGAACCAATGGTTTTATCCCTTGTGAGAAATATTTTTTAAATAAATAAATTTGAGTTGGTTTATCTCAAATTAATTTTAGGAAAATCATAAAGCAACTTAATCCAAACAAGTGCAAACATAATTGAACCAGATCCAAAACGAATGAATCTATAACTCAACCCAACTAATTTAAACATTAAATGGACGACAACACGTTTATTAAGCCACCCACCTTCATCCCAGATATTTATCCACTGACGTCAACAATTGGAGATATAATTAAAATGATATGACACAACTACCCAGGGAAATTTATGGAGCCCCTCACAACTACCTATGTTTCATCCTTCAGGCCTCTCATCAAAAGAGGAAACTGCTCAACGAAGCTTTTACAATTTTGAGTGCTAGTTTTGGGCATTATTGTCAGCACGAAGCTTTTACAAGTCCAGGAATCACTAGGGTGTTTGATTGAGTTGTAAATAGTCTAAAGTTCGAGGTTGAAGATCAAATCAAAGAAACTTGGTTCAAAAATCAAATCAGTGAGAATGTTGGAGGGTGAAGTCTTCCATCCATGACAATTATGCTTACTGTCAGTCTGTAGACATCTCGTGTCTTAAGCTCAAAATGGTGTATTCTGTGCATGGGCAGAGAAGAGGATCTGAATATATAGTGTGGTTGTGCCATTTAACCACTAGAGTATGGAGTTGCTTGTGGCAGAGTTTTGATAAATCGGATGTTTGACTTATTATTTCGTACCAAATAATGAAGAATACGAAATAAATTTGAATTAAGAGCCTGAGGAGAAGTACTAAATATATAGAAATCATGCATTGCTACTGTGTATGATTATTTCCTACATTATTCTCCCTCCAATTCCTCTGACCAATGATTTTAAGTTTTAATTTCAAAGATGCCCCTCAACCCACACATCATTCACAATTTGGATATGACACCATACTTTTCTCCCCTCATGAGATGAGTGAAACTATACTTAATCTCTTCAACATTGTAAAACTCTTTGAGAAAGCATTCGTTCTTAACATAAATAGAAGAAAATTATAGATTTTGGGCACCAACTACGAAGACCCTTCATAGATCTCTTTGCCTCTAACATCAGATGGAAGCTAAAATCTTGGTCAATCTCTTGTTCACAAGTTCCAGTCAATGAAAATCATTGCAATGCCTTTTGGGCTCTATACTGCACTAATGCCTTTGGATCTATTATTAAAAGAATGGAGAAGAAGCTTCACAGATGAAATAGCTTATCTTTGTCCAAGGGGGGTCAACTTTAGTTGAGTCAACTCTTGCCAACCTTCTCACTTACTATAAGTCTAGTTACTTTGCCCATAGAAGCGATCGTTATTGTGGAGAAACTTTCAAATATTTCTATAGGAAGGTACACATAAAAAAGGCAGTTGTCACTTGATCAATGGGAAGAAGGTCCAACCTCCTGTTGGGGAGGGGGTTGGGTATTGGCAACATCAACGCAAGGCACAAAATTCTTATTACTAAATAAATTTGGAAGTTCTATATAGAAAAGAAGGTCCTTTAGAGAAAATTTGTTTTATCCAAGTCTGTTTTATCCTAGTACATACTCTCGTTCATTCGCTAAGTTTACAAACAAAAGGAGCTCAAAGAGAACCAAGCTTAAGTAGAATATGGCTTCACTGCCAACATTCTTTTTAGAAGACTTGTGGATAGGAATGACATCCCTTCTTGCCGATGCCTACACCAAATTTCCTTTTTTAACCAAGTGAACCTTTCCTTCCATTAAAGATTCATGAAACTTCAGTACTTCGGCTCGGGACCTTGATTTTAGAATACTTTTCGAAGATTCTTTTTCTTCTTTTTTCTAGAGAAAGAAACAGTGAATTTCATTGATGAATGTCCTTACCACCAATGGTGGACTACAAATTACTGTTCAGATTATACTAAGTTAAAGAACGCTCTTTCCCACCTTCTTGCAGCCTACCACCAAATTCCAAAGAAAGGCCACTAAAAGCAAATAGCTTCTTCATGGTGTGATAATTATCAGCGAACCTTCACAATCAACCACTTCATGCACAAAACCATTTGGAAAGGCAAACATCCAAAAACATTCAAATTCTCCTTTGAGCCCAGTCCTCCATGGCATTTTTATCTTTGTCAGCAAATATGGGATGAGTAACAATATGAAAAATAGCTGAAGTTTCTGATTGGGCATACTGAGAGTCCTTGGTTCTTCATTGGTGAGTTTTTTTTTTTTTTTTTCTTTTTCCTAACTGTATCACTCTACAAAACTAGAATAAGATATTTAAATTTTCTTGAGGTCTTCCCCATAATGTGAAAGTTAATATAATCCCCTTCTCTCTTATCTGAAAATTTGGACAAACTTCCAATGCAATATCTATTGTCGTTAGAGTTGAACACCCGATTGCCCTAGTTTTATGTGTTCAGTTTTTCATATTCGATTTTTTTTCTTTTTTTCTTTTTTTTTTTTAAATCCAGAAAGATTGTTAAGACCTTATATATCCCAAAACCAAAGATCACCTATGAATCAACCACAACGATGCTACTGATTAAAACCCATACAGGCCACAAGTATCCTGAAGCCATTCAATAGTGCGCTTAACAAAAGGTAAGAGAGAAATGTACGGTTTACTAGCAATAGCTTCCGACATAAGATAAAGATTCAACCAACCACGCCCTAGGGTTGCAGTTAGATCCTTCGATTTTTAGTTAGGGTCGAATCGATGTAAGTTGTAGTTCAAATTTTGTTACTCCAACTCGTCTATCTATAGGGGAAAAAAAGAACGAATCCATGTTCCCCCGCCCCCCTAACCCAAAGCAACAATTAAAAGAAATATACAAAAATCCATAAGTCGAATAATCTTTATATCGCTAAACAAACAAAAAAAAGCAAGGAATTGATAGACAAAAATGAGGATATAGAAACCTCAAGCTCTGCAGATTTCATAGCGATAGGGATGCAGATGAGAACGATCCCGGCCATGGCAATAGCAGTATTGCGTTTCCAGTGCTTGGGCCGGCAATAAGGTCCTCCACTCATGCTCCAAACCTTAGCCCTAAAGTCCCCATGCGCTTCCCCATGTCCATGTCCATGTTCACCTCCTCCCATGGTTTCACTGCTCTCTGAAAACTGGAGATCAGAAATGGAGATCAAAACCCAATTAGCAATCAGTTTAGAGAAATGAACCGAGAAGAGATGGATTTCGTCGATTTTTACTACCTGAAAATTTGGGGATTTTGATCGCTAGCCAACGAGGAAGAGCCCGTGTACACTCGAGAGGCAATATTTTGGGAAACCATCGATAAAAACGTCGTTGAGCGAGGAGATTTTGGTCTTTTTGCACCAACGGGCTCTGTATTATTATTATTATTTTTTTTTTAATTGTTTCTCATTTTTTTAAATTCGAAATCAAACCATCTAATTTTAAAATAAACATTAATTACAAATACTTTTCTTCTTAAGAATCACGTCCTACGGAGATCCTTCCTTCTCTTGAATAACGTCCGTCTAATGGTTCTATTAAGATAATTAAATTAAGAACATGATTTTAATATCACATTTGAAATCACGAACTTAAACAATAGTACGATATTGTTCACTCTCATAACTTTACTTAATTTTTTTTAAAAGATCTCGTATTAATGAAAATAGTATTTTTTAAATTCATGATATATTTTAATTATACTAGTTTGATTTTTTTTCCTCTAACTTTAAATTTATTTATTATATATAAAAAAACAATTATGTCAACTTTATTATTAAAACGAATGACAAAAATATGATGTGACGTTAATTTATAAAATAGTGGTATATTGTACATGTGGCAAAAATGGTACAAATAACTTCAATTTTAATAATAGGTTTTATCGGTTAACTTTTTAATTGATTCAAAATAATCATTTCATTAGCTATAAAATGAAGATTATACGTGGACATAACTAGAACTTAAAATAATAATAATAATAATAAAATTAAGGATTCAAATCACTCAAATAGTCGATTAAGAGAGCAAAACAGATTTTTAAAATTAAGAGGTTTAAGATTTTAAAATTTTTAATTAGAGATTTTTAATTATTTCTTAAATTAAATTGTTTTAGAATTTAAAGTGGTCAAGTTGTCTCCTACTGATTTTAGATTTATTTTCGTATCTAATAAGAATTTTATTAAAAAGAAAAGAAGGGAAAATAGCTGCGTCTGGATAAAATGTAATAAAAAAAAATTGTTTTGTTTTAAATGAAATAAGAAAAGTTTAGCAGAGTTATTGAACTAAAATTATTATTATTATTGTTTCTACGCCCCTTTCAAAATGCACCGTCAGCTTTACCCTTTTAAAATGCGCCTAATAGGGAGAGGTTTCCACGCTCTTATAAGAAATGTTTTCTTACTCTCTCCAACCAATATGAGATCTCACAATCCACCTCTTGTTGGAGGCCCAATAGTTTGAGTCTGATACCATATATAAGAATGGTCATGTCCACTGCTAGTAGATACTATCCACTTTGGCCCGTTACGTATCAACTGTCTACTTCATGGTTTTAAAATGCGTCTAGTTAAAATTATTAGTGTACTTTATAGGTCTCAAACTCATGGAACAAATGGTTCTTCATTTCTATAATATGGAAGTAAAAAAAAAAAAAAAAAAAATCATTCATCTTCTTCTTGAACAAAGGTTTCAATTTAATTTGCAGCATTTGAAGCAGTTTACTGACCTTCATAACCAAATAATTGTCATCGAGTCTTCAAAACCAAAGCAACAAGTGGTTGGTTATATTGAACATCACTCTTTAGTCTCGGCTGCAAGTGTCAATCTGACACCTTCATTGAATGAAACAGGAGAAATGGCAAGTTTCCGAACCAGATTACTGATGTTCATTGAAATGTCTGCAGGGGATTTTACCCCTCGATCAATCTGAAACGTTCAAGACAAAACTAAGACTCATACCAAAAGTAGAAATAAGTTGCCATAAGATCATAGATTTTCACCTAACAGCAATATATTTAGCCTACTAAAATAACAGTCTGATGTAAAGTGGGACACCTATGGCACAATAACAAATAAGAAACCAGCTATTAGACGTATCCAAAGGTTAGTCAATTGAAAGGTGTCCGAAGAAAATTGTGAGATCCCACATTGGTTGGGGAGGAGAATGAATCATTCTTTATAAGAGTGTGGAAACCTCTCCCTAGTAGATGCGTTTTAAAAACCTTGAGGGGAAGCTCGAAAGGGAAAACTCAAAGAGAACAATATCTACTAGCTGTGGGTTTGGACCGTTACAAATGGTTTACCATCCGAGCCAGACACTGGGCAAGGTGCCAGCGATGGGGTCCCATCGATTGGAGAAGGGAATGAGTGGCAACAAGGACATCAAACCCCAAAGGGGGTGGATTGTGAGATCTTACATCGGTTGGGGGAGAGGACAAAACATTTTTTATAAGGGTGTGAAAACCTCTTTCTAGTAGACACGTTTTAAAAATCTTGAAGGAAAATCCGAGAGAGAAAGCTCAAAAAGGACAATATCTGCTCGCGGTGGACTTAGGCCGTTACAAAAAGCTAGAAAACGTGTGCCATTTGAAATGTTTTTTGGTAATATTTCTCAAGGGGGTGCTAATGGATGTGCCAGTTCGACGATCATCTGCTGATATTGAATGGCTTAATTCATTCTATGATATAGAGAAGATCAAGAAGAAAACATACCGATGATGCAGACACTCTTTTGATCAATGATTTGTTATGTCCTCTAATTTCTGCAACAGTCTCGGCCATTTCAACACGTGACAAGCGATTTGGTCCACCAACATTTAACACCAATTGCATTTGCTTGCCCTCTGGAATTCACTCATCCATAATTGCAAACAGATAACTTAATATAATGAAGGAAAAATGAATGCATACATGTCAAAACTGAGGAGAAAAATAATTGAACAAGAACTATCAATCATGAGCATGAACATAGAGTAAAAGTTCCTCTCACCACCTCACAAGAAACTGATCAAATTGTGAACTATCCATGGTAAGTAACATGTTTATCCATAAATAACCACCCAAACCCAAGCTCACCACCGGTAGATATTTTCCTTTTTGGGTATTATTTTTTTGAGCTTCCCTCAAAGTTTTTAAAATGTGTCTGCTAGGGAGAAATTTTCACTCTTATAAACAATGTTTCGTTCCCCTCTCCAACCGATGTGGGATCTCACGTAAACAATCATTTATTCAACATGGCCTGACTTGAATAACAATTGTTCTATAGGTTGTACTCCTCCTCCCTTCACCACCCCATGGAGATGGTCTACTAGGTTTAAATTACTCTTCTTACTGTAAGACGCTTACCTAGCTAACATTAAACTCCGACTCTACCCAAACTTTTCTTTTCTGATTATCCCAGCATTTGTCACTGAGAAAATTTTAAATCAAACGGTCTTCTCCTGAAGGTAATTTTGATACGGACATAAGATATATTTGGTATAGAGACTTTCCAACAACTTTGTCCTCGAGTTCTAAGGATACAGTAATTTATGCAATGCGGAAGGATTTAACTGCAGGGGACCTGGGAAGCACCACTTATATCATCATTTATCAATACTCTACAAAATCCATACCTGATATCCATGTCTTAATCAATGTTATTATGACACTCACGACATCCTTGACATACACAGGACATCGAAACTCATCATGAAAGAATTCAACTTCATTTCCTTTAGATAAAGCAGCATCGATCCACTGTATCAAATGGATGAACAAAGTATCAATTGAATTGGTTATACAAGTTAATTCACAAATAACGACTACATATTTCCCTTCCAGTAGTTGCTTTTAAAATGGCCAGATCTATATGCTTGAACTTGCAGACATTTGTCTTTACAATTCAAAATATCTATAAAGGCATAAATGTACAAGAAAATTTCAGAAGTACAGCATAACGAAGGACCATGTACCTGAACTGGCAGAGATTTATGAACAGGCGAGATGGTCTGAGGACCAAAAATGATACTAGATCTCAAGATTGCAAAGTTGGAAAATTTCTCAGAAACATACTGTTCAGCCGCTAGCTTTGACTTCCCATAGACATTCACAGGAATGGTTTCATCATCTTCCTTGTAGAATGATCTCATGCCTTCATAAACTAGTGGGAAAATAAAATCAAGCACTACCCAGTTGAATTATATCATACAGAATCAGAAAGATGTCCCGTCCAACAGATAAAGGTAATATCTTATGTTCTTGACAAGATGGAAGCAAGTAGGAAATGATGATTCTCAGGTTACTTACAGTCAAAATACCAAAATCTTCAAATGACCTCTATAATTGAACTGAGATTATAATTCCTAAGAATGGGAAGTTCTATAGACTCAAAAGACGAGAAAAGACAAAGCAAAAAGGTTGAATTATCAGTTGTGTCCCTCAACTTTCAAATTGTATCTATTTAGTCATTAACATTTAAAATCCTTCTAAAGCATTTGACAAACGCTTTCAAGATCTTGAGTTTATTTAATCTATGAATTGAAAGAATTTTTAATACTATCAATTTTCTGCCCAATCCAAATTAGCATTTAGAGGACACACTAACTATGTTATTAGAAACTTATGTAGTGAGTTGATTTTGTTCAGGTTCAAAGGTCTTCTAGCGTAAGCATTACCAGCGAGAGCCTTTTATTTATATATACGAGTGTTTAGACTTGTGAGATTCCACATCGGTTGGAGAGGGAAACGAAACATTCCGTATACTTTCCCTAGTACACGCGTTTTAAAACTTTGAAGGGAAGCCCTTAAAGAGAAAACCCAAAAAGAACAATATCTGCTAGCAGTAGGCTTAGGCTGTTACAAATGGTATCAGAGTTAGTCACCGGATGGTATGTTAACGAGAACGTTGGGCCTCAAGAGAGTGGATTGTGAGATCCCACAACGGTTAGAGAAGGGGTACGAAACATTCCTTATAAGAATGTGAAAACCTCTGGGTGCGTTTTAAAAACCAAGCCTAAAAGGAAAAATCCAAACAACAATATCGGCCAGTGGCTGGCGGTAGAGTTGGTGCCTTTAATCAACTTAAAATATCAATAACCAAGTAAGAGAAATAATAAAAATAATAACAAAGAAGACAAGAGTTACCTTGATCAGTTGATAGATGAATGAGAAGTGTATTCATCTGTTCAAAGCTCAACAACCAATTTCCAAGAGCAGTAGGCACGTTGATAGACAATGCAGAAGCAGGGTCTGTTTCGCAGGCACGAGGTACAGAGATAGCAGCACAATTAACAACAATATCGGGCTGGTAATCGAAATCATATTTCAGCACTAAATTCAAGCAATAAGGACGCT